TTTCCCTTTGTAAAAAGTATCTTGTGAGAGATACTATGAGACTCTGCAAACATCCTCTTTCTCATCATACTTTGCCCACTAAATTTAGTATTGATGGATAATTTTTGCCTGTAATGATTATTACTGTTATTATTGGGTCATATGATAGTTTTCTATGTCTATCATTTCTTCTCAATTAATTTAATCTCCTATAATGAAAAACTATTCCTTATTATTTATTTATGTCAGTATAAACTCATGGGTATGAGTTATAATTCATTATTCTCACTATTTTATCACACAAATTTATCCTAACTTTGGCCACTGGGAGCTCTTTTAGTTGGTCCCTGTGTTGTTTTGAAACATTCCCATTACTTTCTGAGTACTTCTTTGCCTGCTAGCACTGCAAAATATTCCAAGCTCATCTTGTACTTTCCCCGGCCTCGGACTGCAGCTTTATCTTTCTAAAGATAATTTCTGCCAGGTCACCCCCTGCTTCATACTCTTCAATGACTCCCCAAAGAACAAAATCTTTACTGTGATTTCAAGGCCCTTTTATACTTCTCAGGCTTCAATCCCTGTTATTCTCCCCCCCTTGTTTACTTGGATTCCAGTTACAAGGTTCTGATAGTACTTAAGACATGCCTATCTTGTGACGACAGGGCCTTTGCATAGCTGCTCTTTGTCACCCTTTAACATTCACCTGTCACCTCTACAGAAAAGAATCCTTGACCTCTCCACCTAAAAGAGTTTCCATCCTTATCTTACTCATCATCTCACCACAATCCCACCTCTCCCTAGCATTTGGCAAAATCTCTGTTGTGTTTAAAACCTACATTTCAACACTTTTTCTTTGTTTTTGGCATTTTAAAATAAGGATTAAACAAATATGAATTTAGCAGTGATAAATGCACATTGTTGCAGGCAAGTTGAATCAAATCTGACAGTGTTGCCACTGGTGACATGATTTCCAACTGCCTAAACAGCCCTTGGAAAAGTTCCAAACATAACAAAGGACATTCTTCTCTGATTTACACAATAGTTGCACCTCTGGAAAATGTAGTGTTTATTAAAGCCTAGCAGAAAATACTTTTGTGTTTACATGTAAAACAGGATTAAGCTTTAGGCTCAAGAGCTTATAAAGAAGTTTTTCACCTACTTGAATGTCAGGCAGAGCCCTTGAGAGTCATGTGCAATCTACAATTTGTCACTGAGTGAGACTGTCCTGGGCTTTGCAGGATATTTATCATCCCTGACCTAGTAGCTCTGACCTTGCCAGCAGATCCTCCAGTCTCTGTGCTGATGAAATGGATCCCTATGTGACTGAGATTTCTAAACATTTAGGTTTCTGAAACCATTTGTTGTAGATTTCTAAGAATATCTCGTGGGGCAGTGGGGGGCAGTTTTTTGGAAGCCATGATGCAGGACTGAGCCCCATAGACAAGGTAGGCAAAGGAGCCATTGGGTAGCGCCTGGTGCGTGTGATTGCCCCACCTCCCTGCTATCACCATATTAGACACAGGCTATCACTGCCAGGAAGGCTCTCCCAGTCAGGAAAGAGAGAGAACACCCCACAGAAGGTCCTTCCTTGTCTCAGTGATGCTCACAGCATGGCTGCTCTCTTGGGCCACTGAGGGCCTCTGCTTTGTATCAGCATTGTCTAAGCACACAGTCTCCTCCCTATCAACCTGTAGGCTTCAGGAAAGCTCCATCCGGCCCACTCCTGCAGCACCAGCATCCAGAATAGAACCCAGCAGGTATTCTGCCAATGTTTGCAGGGAAAAAAATGTAGATGTGCTTTAACCAGGAAGAAATGAGAGACAAAACAGGCCTGAAGCAACATCACTGGCCATCAGAGATTACTGAGCCCATCCAGTGTGCCAGACTCTGGACTAGGCTCAGAATGCAGAGATGAGCAAGACAAATGCCTCCCCGTGGGGAGGAAACAGACCCTTAAACCTATGGCAACCGGGTCAGTGAGGGATGCATGGGACTAGGTGCCCCTGAAGAGAGGCAGCTAACCTTGCCTGAAGTAGTTAGGGCCAGGGAACACATCTGCAAGATGCTACCTGAGCAGAGCAGGTAGGAGCTAGCCCAAGGGAGGATGGCAATTATTCCAAGCAGAGGGAGCCAGGCTTGCGAAGTCACATTAGGAGAACTCAGGCAACCCACTCCTCCTCCAGATACCCCTCTGGAACTGCCTTCTTCTGATGTCAGGGAAGCAGGGAGAGCTCAGGAGTCAGATTGGGGCAGGCTGCAAGGAGCATAGCTTACTTTAAAAGACAAACAAGCTGTATGTATGCAGTGCCCAGCTCTGCCTCTCACCAAGCCTCAGGAACTGACCGAATTCTTACAGAGCTTAGTAAAGTCTTCTTGGATTTCTGAAGATTCCACCTCTTGGAAGTGTCTTTCCCTTGGCCAATCACATTCTTTCCCCCAGCCCACCTTTGGGGAGAGGGCAGAGGCACTCAGGTTTACAGAGCTGCTACTCTGGGCCAGATGTGGTTCTAGGGGCTCCACATAAGCCATTCTGTGTAACCTCCTAACACAACACACAGCAGGAATTCCTATCTCCATTTACAGAGGAGGAACCCGAGGCTCAGAGAGGCCATGTGCCTTCCCAATAGCACACAGCTCATACCAGTTTCCTCCTTCCCCGTGCCCTTGTTGCGGGCTGTTAATCACTTCATGATGGCTTGAGAGTGAAGGTGTGATCTATGGGAGGACTTTGAGGACAGGATTTTCTAAGAGTCTCCTTGACCAAGAAGAAGAATCAACTTAGCCTATGACAAGGCACAGTCTGCGGTCTGGCTCAGTTGACTCAAAAACACATAAGATACCCTTGGGTAAGAAGCTTGTGAGTGTTAAATGGGGGAACGCCTGGCACATGGCAGAGGCTCACTCTCATGCATTGCCGGCTCCCCTGTCCTGATCTGACTGTGCTACTGTCATCCATGGACACTGGTTTGCAGCCTTTGCCCCTGCTGGTGCGTCTGTGTATCCAGCATGCTCCCAGCAGGGGAGAGGCAGAGCACTGAGAGACTTTGCAAAGGCTGATGGGCAGGGAGAAGGCAGCCGGCGAGAGCTTCGAGCTCTCGAAGTACCAGCTGTGCTGAGAAGCCCTTTCTACCCCCAGACCTGCACGGATGAAAGAAGAGGACAAAATTCTGGAGTCTAGTAAAAGCTGAGACTGCAGAGGAAGGCCTGTCACCAGGTAATACAACCATATATCAGCAGTTCTCAAACTTTAGAGAGCATCAGAATTCCTTTGGAAGGCCTGTTGAAATACAGCTTGCTAGGTTCCCCTACACGCCACGCACACACCAGGAGGTTTGGAATAGGGCCAAGAGCTTGCATTTCCAGTAAGCTCCCAGGCTATGCAAAGACCGCTGGCTTGTAGCTCACTCTTTGAGAACCACTGCCAGGAAGGAACAGAACCATTGTGGGGAGAAGTTCAGGGAGGTGTAAATGCCCTGGACCTCTCTCTCCCTCCACCTTCCAGTCCCCTGCTAGTGTTTTCCATTGGCTGAACCCAACCTGATACTAGAAGGCAAGGACCTGGCGTGACAGAAACTGGAACAAAGAAGAGAAGGGATCTGGGAGGTGACAGAAAGGAATAATCAGAAATTCCCCCAACCAGCCCCTTGCCCTCTGCTGCCCTCTACTTCCACTAGCCCAGTAAGCAGGGGACCCCATTCTCATTCAAATGCTATTTTCTGTCATTTGGCTTTTTTGAGTATTATTCTTGAGTAACAGAATACATTATGTTTTATATTAAGCTCACAAGCTTAAAGAAAAGTATGATTCTCTTGACTCAATTATGTAAATAAGCTATCATGTCATGTTGCCCTGCAGAAATTTCATGCATTTTGGGGTTGAGAACTTTTGAAATTCATGTCTGCAATAAAGCTATCATTCTTCCCCCTTTTCATTTCTGCCTTTTCCACAGCTGTTTCCAGGAGGCCTGTTTTCTGATTAAAACATGGCTTTCTTCTTTCTCAGAATTTAGCTTTTTTAACCTAAGCAAATGATAACAATATAGAATTTCTTGAACTTCCTCACAACTTCTCTTCTTATATCCCCAGCTCCCAAGTTTGAGGAGTAAGAACATTTTTTTTTAGCAGTGAGCCTGAACTTCAATTTGGTAAAACCAGTTCAGGGGGAAGAAAATCTGTTTAACTAAATTCCATTTTCTGTTTGTGAATAAAAACATTAACCATTATTAGTCATTCCTCAAAACCCTAAGTCTCCAGAGTTATCCCTGAGACTGAGACATTTTACACACAGGAACTCCCAGCACCAAGGTGGGATAAAAGAAGAAACATCAGGTTGGTCGGTGCTCTGAGTCAGAAGCTTGGAAGGGCTGAGGCATGTCAAAATATAACCCCAAGGCAGTAGACCTCTGGCAGCTTCTGAGCCCCTGAAGACATTCTCCCTCACTGAATGCCTCATGCTGCCCCTCAGCCTCCTGTCTGAGTTTCTGGCTGCTCTGCCTTCCTACTGAGTTACCATGCTCTCTACCTACAGATGAGTGGATTTATCTTTTGCACAAACTCTCATCCACTGATAGAGGCAGCCCATAGAGTTGTGCTGAGAAGAACTGTGGGCTTACCTGCTAGTAAAATAAGTAAAGAAATGAAGGAGCAAGATAATCATAAATTGTGATAAGGAAAGAAATCATAATAATGAGAATAACTGGTGGGGACAACATTAACTAGAGGGGTGGTCATGGGATACTGCTCTGTGGTATTTGATTAACTGGAGAGTGGTGTGGCAATGCACACTGAAAAATAGAAATGAATCCAGCACACAATCACCAAATGAAACAAAGTCCTGGAGAAGAGAAAAGGCTTGGAATATTCCAGAAACAGAATGAGGCCAGTGCAGCTGGAATAGAATGATCAAAGGAGGGAGTAGTATGAGGTAAGTTTAGAGAAGCTGGCCACAGGCAGAGCTTTGTAGATGAAGTGTAACAGCTCTTTGTAGCTGTTTAAGAAGCCAACCCAAGACATACATAGTGGCTTAAAAAAACAGCCATTTTATTTGCTCACATTTCTGGGAGGTAGCCACTTGGGCTGGGATCAGCAGAAGAAACACTGGTCTTGCCTGGCCTCAGTTATATGGCTGCCACCATTTGGTGGCTCATCGGGGACTAGATGACCTATGACGACTTCCCACACGTATCTGGTCAGTGCCAGCTATTGGCCAGTGGGTATAGGGGGCCTCAGATGGAAGAATTCATCTCTGTCAATGTGATCCCTTGTCCTCCAGTGGGCTAGAGACCAGACTTCTTCATTCTAAGAAAACAAAAATAGAAGCTGTAAGGCCTTTTGAGGCTCAGGTTTAAAAGTCAAATAATGGCACTTGTACTGCATTCTATCGGTCAACCCAAGTCACAAAGCCAGTCTAGATTCAAAGGACAGGAAAATGGACTACTCTCTATGGGAGGAGTGCAAAGTCACACAGCAAAGGAGCATGCACACAGGGGTGAGAGGAGTTTGTGACTCATTTTGCAATATAGTCCCCTGAGGTGAAAAGTTTACATTCTAATTTAAGTATAATAGCTGGTCTTGATGAGTTTCAATGGACAGTTTTAATGGTGTTACCTGATTGTTTAATTAGAATGACTACCATTTCTAATTCGTCTCCCTGTTGATATATTGCAAACTGCAGCTTTCATATTCATGGACTTTACCTTTCTTGAACCACTGCGTGCACATTTGTTTTAACAAAAAGTTTTTAAAAATTTTAAAAGGAAAAAGGAAAAACCAACCTCATGGTCTGTGGGCTTGAAAAAAAGAAGGAAATGTTCCAACTGGGTTCAGTGCTACTGAGAGGTCAGGGAAGATGAAAACAGAAAAGTTTATTAGGTTTGGCAATATGGAGATCATAGGCAAATTCAGCAAGCATGACCACCTCTGTAGAACAATGAGACTAGAACCCATAATCCCGAATCCTCACAAAAGCCTTTAAAGCTAAGAATCGTTAACTTTCATGTAACTCAACATTGCACATGACACTGAAGAGAACTCTAGAAGCCTGAGGGCCTGGGTTTAAACCCTGGCTCCTCCACTTACAGACCGTATTACCTGGGCATGTTGTTCAACCAGTCTGTACCTCAGTCTCCTCATCTGTAAAATGAAAATAATGATAATGCCCTCTTCACAGGGTTGAGAATCTTATCATTTCACATGTGTAAGGCCTTTTGAACACTTGTTACCTAGCTACCCTCTACCTAATCACCCATCTTGTACAGACGAAGGAACAGCAGTTCTCAGAGCTTTCTGCAGATTCTAAGACAAATGAGAGGAAGGATGTCAGCCCAGCTCTCCTGGACGCCACATCATGAGGTAGAACTGGGAGAGCAACTCCCGCTCAGGCATCTGCACCTCAGAACCAGGTTCCTTTAAGAGCGAGAGGCCTCTCTTGGAGGTGAGCCAAGTGGTAAGCAAGGACCCAGTGAGCAAGTCATGCCCTTCTGGAATGCCTGGCCCCTCATATGTGCTTGTCATTCATAGATAACGTGCACACTCTGAGCACGTGCGATGAGTGTCACATCTAGCAGACAGAAACTGCACACTCACCTTCAGGAATGGCTGTTGTGTCACTCATTTCCAAGCATGATTATCATCTTCCCAAACTGCTCACTTCTTTCCAATCTATATCAAGGTTGTTCGTTTTTTTTTTTATTATCAATGTTCCAATTATTTCTGGGAGACTAGAAAATACAGTACACAACCATAATTACTATTGATAAACCCTTTAGGAAGGCAGTGGGATGTTCTGTATACAGAATCAAAATAATGTTAACATCAAATTCCATTTCTGGGAATTTATACTGAGAAGAAAGGAAATAACAGGCACAAAGACACTGTATGATTCCATGGAATATTACATAGCCACGTTTTCATCTCTCTAGGCAGTATGAAAATTCATTATGCTTTAATGTGAAAATTTCAAAAATACAGAATTATGTCTGCACTGTTACCATGCATAGAAGTGCACAAAAAAATCATGTACACAGATGGGAAATAATAAAGAACATCATTTGGGTCCATCTTCTCTCAGCCTCAGCTTTATGATCTTGGGCAAGAACTTCAGTTCTCTGAAACTCAGTTTCCTCATCTATAAAATGGGTATAGTTAATAAATGTCTATTAGCATTTACTGTGTGCCAGGCACTGTAGTGCTTTATGGGCCTTATCTTATTTAACCTTTCAGTGATCCTAAGTAGAAATGACTCTTACCATCATTTTCCAAACTGAAGCCTAGAGATGTGAAGTGACTTCCTAAGGTCACATAGTGAGAGGATATGTGGAATTTGAACACGAATTCCTTCCCAGCTGCTCTCCGAGCCAGAGCCCATGATTATCAGGCTACAGTTGAGGGTCATTGTGAAAATTGAGGTCAATATGTAAAAACATTTCAGCATATAGTAGCCACTGCACACATAGATCTATTTGCCTTGTGGATAACTGGGTAATGAAAAACACCAACAGTGGGAGGCAGGGACATCAGAAAGAGCCCTGCTGTGGAGGCAGCCCAGAAGGTTGGTTCCAGAGAACAGCAATGCTGACAGCTACTTTATATTAAGTGTTTGCTTTGTGCAAGGCTCTATTCTAATTGTTAGCTTTTTTAATCCTTGTAGCAACTCTGTGAAGTAGGTAGTTATTATTCCCACTTTATAAGTAAGGAAATTCAAGGCACAGAGAGATTGAGAAACTTGCCTGATGTCACATAGCTACTAAGTGGAGGAACAAGGAATCAGACCCCAGGCAATGAGAACCCCAATTCTTGAGCTCACCTGCTTGCTCCTTGTGATAGCTGACTTTGGAAGATTGTACCAACTATTTGCTCCATGTGGTCATCTCAGATCTAGGGATTGTCAATGAATATTTCCCTGTTTCACAGGAAATTCAATTGCTGGTACTATAATGTGTATATGGTTTCTTTTTAAAAAATGTCTAAAAGTAAGCAAAGGAGTTGGCAGACATTTCTCAAAGAAAATATACAAATGGCCAGTAAGCACATGAAAAGATGTTCAACATCACTAATCACTAGGAAATGCAAGTCAAAACCAAATGAGATACTACTTCACACTCATAAAAGGATGGATGGCCATTATTTAAATAAATGAATAAATAAACTGAAAATCAGAAGCATTGACAAGAATGTGGAAAAACTGGAATCCTGTGCATTGCTAGTGGGACTGTATCACGGTGCAGCTGCTGTGAAGAACAGTATGGAGTCCCTCAAAAAACTAAACATAGAATTACCATACACTCTAGCAATTCTACTTCTGCATATATACCCAAAAGAAAGCAGAGACTCAAATAAATATCTGTACATGTTCATAGCCGCAGTTATTCAGAACAGCAAGGTGAAGGCACACTACTATGGGCTGAATTGTGTCCCGCACAAATTCATGTGTTGAAGTCCTACTCCCCAGTATACTCAGAATGTGACTGCATTTGGAGACAGGGCCTTTAGAGAGGTAATTAAGGTTAAATGAGGACATGAGGTGGGCTCCCATCCAATAGGAAGATGAAATTAGGACAGACACAGTTAGGGGGAAGACCATGTGAAGATACAGGAGAAGACAGCCATCTACAAGCCAAAGAGAGAGGTCTCAGCAGAAATCAACCCTGTCAACACTCTGATCTTGGACTTCTAGCCTCCAGAACAGTGAGAAAATTAATTTCTCTTGTATAAGCCACCCAGGCTGTGGTACTTCTGTTATGGCAGCCCTAGCAAGCTATCATATAACTATGGGTCCATCAACAGACTAATGAATAATTGAAACGTGGTATATACATATGATGGAATATTATTTAGCCTTGAAAAGAAAGGAAATTCTAACATATGATACAACATGGATGAACCTTGAGGACATTATGCTAAGAGAAATGACAGTCCCACATGGACAAATACTGCATGATTTGACTTGTATGAACCCACTCTTCCATAGAGTAGTTAAATTTATAGACAGGAAGTAAAATAGTGTTGCTAGAGGACAGGTGAGGGAGAAAATGGGGAGTTATTGTTTAATGGGTACAAAGTTTCATTCTTGGATAATGGAAGTTTCTGAAGGTGGATGGTGGTGACGTTGCACAGCACTGTCAGTGAGCCCATGTCACTGAACTGCACACTTTAAAACAATCAATGATAAATTGTAAGTATGTTTTGACACAGTTAAAAAACATTTTAATGAAAAAAAGAGGTTTCTACTGACAAAATAAAATGAAAACCATATTAGTACAATTAGGAAAACAGAACTACTCTAGATGTTTTAAACAAAGAAAAATTAATACCAAGAATTGGTTATCAAAGAGGGAAATCAAAAAATTAGCCACTGCAGGAAGCAACTACTAACCCTGGAGCTGAAGACGTAAAAGAGGAAATGGCATTGTCACCCAGAGCCCAGGAACACTGCACCTTTGAGGCTGCCATACCCAACAGCCTGCACCTGCTGGCCACAGCTTCTCCCCAGTATGCCCAGAGCACTACCAGAAACTGGGGGTGGGGGTGAGGGTAGCTTCGTCCCTTCTTTTACCTTCCAATCTCTGACCAGTGGCTCGTACTGGAAGACCCTAACAGAAGCAAGACGAAAAGAGACTCTGGGAGGTGCAGTTTGCAGGCTTCCAGCCTAGAGGAGTCAACAGGACAAGCTGACTGATGACAGACTCATTGGACTCAGTCTTTAAACATACTTATCAAAAAGAAGGGAGCAGTGATGAAAGAAAATGAAGTTTTGAAACTCACAGGATTTGTTACCTTCCATCAACCCCACCTCCGGGTTTGTGGAACTTCCCAGGACTAATCCACGGGATTCTGTGGAGGTGGAGCTGTCACCCAGGGAGGATGGCCCTTCCTACCTCACAGGGCTGGCAAGGAACCCAAACACGTCTCGTCTCCAGCTCCTATCCCTGTGAAGAGTGATTAGTTCAGGGATAGGCACACGATCCAAGCAGGCCTATTCCCAGCCATTTTGGGGACTTGTGGTCATAAAAAAGGATCTCACTCTTTAAGATGTCATGAGCTTGAAGGTCCCTGTGAGCCTGAAGATACTGGAATCATCTTCCTACCAATGAGAGAGGGCCTGCTTGGGAATGTATCGCCAGCTTTTTTAGTCACCGTGCAATTTGTTAGTTGGGTATTGGGCCTGGGATAAATTAAAAACCCTAAGACAGCTTCTTCTGTTTCTTTTAAAAACTGTATTTTCAAAGTTTCCTCATGTGAACTGCTGTTGATTAAGGTCTCCTCACTATAACCTTATGCAGTGGAATTTTTTTAACTCTAAATGCAGGTTCAGCTAGTTCAGGGTGTAACACTCTAGAGTTCCCCACAAGGCGCTGCCCTCAGGGCGCAGATCCCAGCACTGTGACCTTATAATTATGTTCTTTGTGAACTTCTGTCAATAATTGCCTTGGATGGGGTCCAGGCAGCTTTATACTGCATTCTGATGTGTACAGAAAGGTGTCTCTGGGACCTGCCTGTGTGTCTGTTTGTTTAGTGATGACAGGGGTCACCAAAGCCAGGAAAAACCTAGAAACCACAGCTGCCACCCCTGTCACTAGGAGAAAATCGTAACATCTTACATAGAACCAAATGTGTTTGGAGTTTCCTGTGCCTATAGCTATTAACATGGTATTTACATAACTGGAATTCTTTCTGTGGCAGGTAACAAAAATCCAACTCAAACTAAATACAAACTTTGTTAGCTTCTATAAATGAACATTTTAAGGAAACCCTCAGGGGTTACTAGGTGCCAATATGGGAACCTCTCTCTCCATCTCTAGCTCTTGTCTTCTTTTATTCCTGAGGTCACTATGTTGCAATTCTATTTAAGCATCTCAGGCCCAGCACTTGGTAAGAGTGCACCTGGAGAGTCATGTGCCCTTCGGGAAGTCATTCTCCAAGCAGACAGTGAACAAATGCAAGAGAACATAATGGTGACATACTCAGGATGGGGTGGTGGGAACCATCTGCCCCAGCAAAAAGAATTTTATCACTGATCTTGAGAGTCACCTGCACTCATGGTAATATCAAGGTGACTGACTTTTACTCAGTTTTTATTACTGTTTCTAAATTACCTAAAGACAATGCTCCCCCTAAGTCCTGTACTGAGGATGGTGGCTCCCACTACCCCTGCCTTTGGTAAACCATTAGGTCACCAAATGTGTGGTAAGAATAAATTTACAAGGTGGGCACTCGTGGGGGACTGAGCACCTTAAGGGATGGGGATTCCTAGAGTGGAACCAGGACCAGCAAAAGGATGATAGGTTTGCCTTCTGGCTGTCTTTATCACCCACCGAAAACTGGCTCAGAAATCACCTACAGGCATGACACCTCTGGCTGTGTTCCCCCACCCGCAATCCAAGGCTGACTGTGCTCAGCAGGACAGAAGAGATCATATATGACGTTGTCACTTACACTGTACTTCCCTCAAAGCCATTGACCTGTTTGGCTGACATGATTGTGGAGAAACATCAGCTCCAACCATGATTTTAGCTCATCATTCATTCATTCATACATTCATCCAAACAACATTCATGCAGCACTCCCATGATACCTTCTGGGAGGCAGTGAGACACAACCATACCCTCCAGGCCATCACCGACTTCCCGGCCTCTTCCTAAAACTCCAAACTCCTTGGTCAGCTTGACCTTAGAGCTTTTTAACCTAGGATCCATTGACTCTTGGAGGCAATCAATGAACC